GCGGCCCATGGCCCCCGAACACCCAGCCTTCGGGCCCCCAACGAGGTGGGCACAGCAGCTCACCCCTCACCGCCGGGGGGCCGCGGCAGAATCGGCAGCGTCGGCGGGCGGGGTGGGGCGGGGGCCAGGGCCGTCCAGATCAGCGACCTGGCTGGCGGCCTCGCCTGTAACCTGGAGGAGGGGGGGCGAGCCCCGGGCGCGGCGGGGGCCCTTGCGCCTGCTGCCCCGCCGCCTCTCCGCCAGCCCCCCCCGCGCCCCCCGGCCTGGGGCGACGGGTATTCGGCCGCGGGGCCCTGGTGATCACCATCTCGATCACCGCCGCCGAATCGCATTCCTGGCGGCTCCTGGGCCTGCTCGCTTGCCATCGGGCCACGGTCGGAAGCCCCCCGGGCCCCCCCCACTCGGTAGTGCTCGGTGGCAAGGGTCCACGGCTGGAGCTGCGCAGCACAGCGCAGCTCGCGGCTAGATCAAGCTCGCGATCAGCGTCACCTTCAAGCACGCCTCTCCGTCCTCGGCGTCGATCCAGAGCCAGGGTTCGGGAGCGTTCCAGCCGAGGTCCAGCAAGTCGGCGAGCGCAGCCCCCGCGGGGCCCCAGACCCGCCCCCATTTCCCAATCAAGGCTCAAAAAAAAAACAAGTTTCGGCAACAATTGCGGCGGCTCCCCCCTCATGTCTGGGAGCTCAATCACCTTCAAAAACCGAGCGGGCCCGGCTTGGGCGACAGCGCAAAACGGACGGCGACCGCGGCGCAGCCCCTCCCCCCCCCCCCCAACACCACATCCACAACCACCCCCACCCCACCCCCCTCCTCGGATGACCGCCAGCCCATGCACCCGCGCTCGGGGCATGTGAAATTTGCGTCGGGGCTAGGCCCACCGCCGCCAAACCCTGCGCGTCATGCGGGTGAAAACCAATTTCACCTAAACTAACTGCGCGCGGGCTGGCTGCAGCCAGCTGCGCAATCATGGCACCCCGATTCAGCGAGCCTTCTGTCTTCGCGGTTCCCACCGATCGACGACTAGACAAAACGCTGCGAAGTCCAAAGATGGATGCCGTTAGCCCTGAGGGCTGCTGCAGCCGGGTCGCCTAGCTCAGGCGGTTTGGCAAGAATGGCGCCGCCCGATGCGACGAGGCCACTCGCTGCGCATGCCTCACCAAGAGTCGTAGCCACCTTCGCCGATCGGCCCCTGGGCGAGTCCGCCGTGCCCGAGGACGCGCCCGGGACAAATCGCCCACCCAAACGTCGACCTGAAACGGCCTGCGCTTACCTCGCGCGTCGCGGAAAATTGCCCTCGGCCAAACTCTGATGATCCCAAGAGAAGGGGGTCCATATTGAGACGGGGCTTCTTCTCACGGACCCCAAGAAGCCAGAACAGTTCGCAGTAATCGAACGCCTCGCGCGCAGCATCCGAGGATGCGCCAGTGCCCGGTCGGCGCAACCTGGGCGGCGCAGTGATGGCGTTGCTTCGCGGGCGGGGAAAGCTGAGGACGATTGCCCAGCCCTTGGCGCCACTTCATGATTCGCCCGGGCGCGCGAGCTTCCATGGCAACCCTTTGCTCAGAGACGGCCGGGGCGTTGAATCGGCGCGCGCAACCCATGGTCGGTTCTGCAGCGGCACGGGCGGCCGCGAGGAGCCGCTGCTCTGGCCGAGCGGTCGCGCCTGCGACGACAAGGTTCGGAATCCGAGAATGGGCGAGGCGCGCGACTGGCGGCGCCCATCAATGCGAGCGCCCGAGCGCGGACGAGAGCGAGGCGCTCCCTTTCCAGGCAGTGGATTGTAATCACCCTTTCCCAGGCAGCGGGGCAATCGCGCGGGTTTCTTGCGCCCTGCCGCAGCGCCCGCCGAGGTCGAGGACTCTCGTGGCGAGCGTGCGATATCGGCAACGATGAACGCGCGGAAACGCTTCGACGCGGCGCCGCTACAGAAGATGTCTGGGGAGGCTCGAGCGGCCCGCTATCCTGTCGGATTGCAATGGCAATCAGCGCCCTAACCAACTGCGCGTCGATGGCGGCGGAGGCCTCCGCCAACGCCTGCGCGGGCGCAACTTCGAGGCATGGGGGCCCCGCCGGATTGCGCGCGGCGGAGCTGGCGCACGGGGGCGCCGCCCATGCGAGAAGCGCGCAGGTCCGTCGCGCTGCGCGCCCTGGTTGATCTGCGCTGAGCTGTCTCGCGCCAAGCAGATCCCTCGGCCATGACGGCGTTCGTGCGAGAGGCTCAGGGGCGAAGACTCATCGCGCAGCCGACGAAGTCGGGGTTCGCCTTTGTCAAGACGGCCGCTGGCACGGCGATCGGTCCCCGGGCGAAGATGCTTCCCATGAAACTCCAGCAAGCGATAAGCAACTTGGGGCGCGATCTAGAATCGGGGCACGCGGCGCGCCCCGCGGCAAAGGCGCGGCTCGACAAGTGGAAGGGGCGCATGCCGGGGGGGTGATGCCGCGCAGGACGGCTGGCGCGAAGGCCCACGCGTTGCGGCCATCAGGTCTGGCGCCGTCTGCCGCGCGCGGCTCGGACGCCGCTGGCACCCCTGGCCCCTGCGCCCAGAAGTGGCGGCGACGCCGGCGGCGGCGCGCGAAGTCAAGCGAAGCGGCCCGAACGTCGCGGCGCGACTGGCCTCGCAGCGCGACCAAAACATCGAGGCCGCGCCGGGGGCCGCGAGCGAGCGCGCGTGCTTCGCGCGGGGCCAGCGGCTTGGCGCGGGCCGCTCGGGGGGCACTCGGCGACGCGGGCGCTGCAGGGGCCGTCTTGGGGTGGCGCGCGAGGGCAGATGGCGCCCTGCTGGCCCAGCCCGCGCAGGATCGGATGGAGCATGGCGAGCAGCGCGGTCTTCACAAGCGACGGGGGACAGAGTTTCTCCCTGATGACGACGTCTCCCAAAGATATCAAGCGGATGCTTGAAGAGTGCGAGACGGTGGCAGGGCCACCAAATCTGCAAGCACATCTCTGAGCATTTCGACAGCAGCGAAAAGATCTGTATCCGAGCCATTCTGCTCGTGACAGGGCGGGTCGGCGGAACGGTCGTGGAACCAGCCACAGTTAACAGGGGCACTCAGATCGCTCTGGTCTGGCAACATGACGCTGGCCAAGACGAAAGAAAGGAAATCGCTGCCGTCGCCGATCTGCCCCCACCCCAACGCACGCCAAGCAGGCGCGCGACGCGCTGACACACAACGTGCGCATAAATTCCTTGCTTGCGGATGACACCGCGAAGGTGCTGGAGTGGGGCGAGAAGACATGGGCCAGACCAGAATTCACCTCAGCGAAAATGCCGCGGACGTCTTCGGCAACGAGGGCCGGGTCATGATGGACTGTTGCTTCGGCCTCCGGCAGGCCCCCATGAGGCAAGAGGTTGGCTTCGCCACTCTAAGAAATCATACTCACTTCATTCTAATAAAGAGGCTGGACATATTGTCCCATGTTGTTGGACGGATCAAAATTGCACGTCGGGTGGACGGGATCAGTAAGCACGTCGGACGGACGGACGGACGGACGGACGTATTCCGCGAGGCCTTCACGGACGGATCAAGGTTGCACGTCGGCTGGATCGAGTTTCGAAGATGGGGGTGGGCGGTGGTTCAGATAGAGAGACAAGAAAAGAATCCTCTCTGAGCCCGTTATGGGCCCGCCCGCTCTTGGCCCCATTCAAACGGTCGGCATGCCCGACTGGATTGCGTTGCTCAGAGCCCTGCGGTGCACTCCTGGGGTAGAGGTTCTGGCATCGGATTACCTGGGGGTCGCTCGGGAAGGCCAGGACCAGAGTCCCAGTCGTGAGGCCTCGGGAGGATCCCATTGCGCGGTCTGGCGTCCAATGATCAACGCGTGCAGGCCTCGTTCGGGGCCCCTGTGTTGTGAATGGGTCTCTGCGCATTCGGACATTAGCGATTTGTTGGAGGCTTACCCTGATACGCCTCCACACTGGCATGAAGGCAAGTGTTCAGCTGATTTCTGTGCTCGGCCGGGGGGAATAATCATGACGTGGCTGATGACGCGGTCGAAGATGGCGCCGAGAAATCAAACATGTACAAAGGCCGCCCGAAGTTTTTCGGGTGGGCTGGTGCTCGGATTACCGCGTCCAGAGATAGTATCAAGGAGCAGATCTCGCCTCGTAGTCGCGAGTGCAAGTCTACTGCGCCTTCCCGCGGGGCACTGCCCAATATACTTCTCGGGTTCCACAAGCATGACTTCTAGAACCTGCAGCCTGGCAACTTGCTTTGTAGAAGGTGCCTGGCTCAGCATCGGACCCCTGCGACCGAAACACACATCGCCATTGGGCAAGGCAAATCATGTAATCCCACACCGCTTCGGGTTCGCCGTGCAAGAGTGGAATCCGGACCTGAGGGGTGATTTCAAGAGTTCCTCAGCGTATCAATGTAGCGCTTGTAGCGACTTCTGCGTCGGTGGGTGTGGCTGGTTCAGAGCCTGCGGGCCCTTGGGCCTGTGCGGCTGCATCTGAGGAGGCGACGGAGACGGGGCAGGATGATGATGGTGTCGCAACCCTTGGCCACATAGTGGGGCGCAAAGGGCCTTACATGTTCTGTTGGAACTGCGGGGTACAATTGTTCGAACAGGCTGGGGCGTCTCCGAAACAAAACTCTTGCCGGGTGCGCTTGGAGAAGTGGCCGCAAGAGGCTCTCGCAAATACTCTCGCGGAGAACCACTCGACATCTAGAGAGGTGTTCTAATTTGGAGCTTGCAGAGCGGGCTTCAAGGTTTGCGCCGCAGCTCTAATGTCGTTTCCGAGCGCAGGCGGGAGACTAGCTGGCACATCTATGTCTTGTATCCTTGTGTCCGCCCCTCCTCCCTCCCTCCTTCCTCCTCCCTCGTCCCTCCTCCCTGGGTCCCTCCTCGTCAACATCGTACTCCCTCTTCCCTCCCTCCTCCCGCCTATCTCCTCCTCCCTTCCCCCCCTCCCCCTCCTCCAACTCCCTCTCCTCCTCCCAACTCCTCCAACCCCCTCGCCCCCGCCCTCGCGGCGGCGGAGCGCGGCGCTCAAAGGGCCGGCCTGCGCCTCCAGCTCCGCGATCCTCGCCCGCAGCTGCTCCGTCCGGAGGCGCTCCTGCGAGGACGGAGGGGGGGGGTTCGGGGCGAGGGGTCGCGAGGACGGCCGGGAAGGCGGGAGGGAGGGCCGAGGCAGGGAGGGAGGGCGGAGGGAGGACGGGAGGGACAACGGGAGGGACGACGGGAGGGAAGACGGGAGGGAGGACTGAGGCAGGGAGGGAAGACGGAGGCAGGGAAGACGGGAGGGAAAACGGGAGGGGAGACGGGAGGAAAGACGGGAGGGAGGGGGGGGGAGGGCGAGAGGAAGGGAAGACGGGAAGGAGGGTTTAGGCAGGGATCGACCGAAACAGTGTCGTGTAGTTTTCGTGTTTGGTTTCGTTTTCCCTCGGTTTGTCTTCAATCCGCCTTTGGTTGGCGGGGGCGAGAAAGAGGGCAAACGGGAGGGAGGGGTGAGGCATGGATCGACCCAAACAGTATCTCTCGTTTTCGTTATGGTATCGTTCTCCCTCGGTTGCTGCGAAACGAAGTCGAGACGAAAACGGCCCACGAAATCGCCAAACCACCGTTCAAGTCGACCCATGGGTTGAGGAGGGACGGGGAGGAAGAAGGGATCTTAAGAGCGTCTTCTCCAAGGGGATGCAAACAAGAGAAATCGAGGCAAATCGAGGCACATCCGATACATCCAGGTCAATCCAAATGTGCCCAGGTAGGCCTGGGACAGATCTTGGAAGCTCCAACGCGAGTCGAGGGAGACCATGAGTCGGTAAGCCCTTACCGACAGGGTAGAAGGGGTGAGAGGGAAGGAAAAACGGAGGGAGGAAGGCAGGAGGGAGGGAGGGGACAAAAGTCAAAACGGGAAGCTGTTGGCCGATTTCTCGGGGGCGTCTAGGAGAGGGGGGGCGTCCAAGAGGGTGGTTCGCAAACCATGGCCCGAGGCCTGCACGCGGACCAGAAAGGGCCAAGGCACGCATTGCGGTAAGAAAAAACGCCGTGCAATCTGACCGGGAACCTTGTGACCCGGGTCGATTCAGACCCGGGGCAGTCAAGCCTCGCAGGATCCTTCAAGATCCTGCACCCACGCCCGGGTCAGTGCGAAAGATCCTGCAAGATCCTGCAGGATGCTGCTCCCAAACCCGGGTCAGTGCGCCCCTGGCCCTGCAGGATCCTGCAAGATCGGGCGCTCTGGCTGACCCCCGTTTGCATTGATCCCCATCGCAAGGCTCCCGAATCTGGGGACATCTCACGGCCCCGGCCCTTTGCAATAGGCCACCACTCCCCTCTTGGACGCCCCCGCTTCTCGGCCTCCACGAGCCCCCACCAGGCCCTGGGACCGTCAAAAGACGGCCCAGGACTGGACACCAGTTCCCGGGAAAGGGTCCAAGCCTCATTTTGGGTGACCCAAAAGGGGGTCCAGCTGAAAGAGGGTGGTGCAATAGATTTGGGGCAATTGGATTGCAAATGTATTGCGCCGGATAATTGTGTTGCATTGTATTACAAGTAATGTAGTGCACGCGAAAATACAGCAATACATTTGTGCCCCGACTGCACGCCCCAAATGTATTACAACCCTACGAATCTACTGCACCACCCCTTTGCCGCTGGACCCCCTGTTGGCTCAACCCGACCTTTGGGGGTCGACGTTGGGGAACAAAGATGACGCCGTACAGTCGGACCTGGGACAGAAGAACCATCCTCTAAAACGTGCGACCCTCCGCCAGCCAAACTGAGAAACATTCGAGGGAAACCTCTCCCAGGATGCACAAACGCATCCAGCAAGCATGAAGAACATTGCGGTCCCCTCCCCGAGCCGAACTGATCTGATACCTCGGTCCGGCCGTAGAAGTTACGGTAAACACACGACGCCGTGTTTCTGAGGCGGGCGGCGAGGAGGGAGCGGGGGGTGCGGAGAGGGATCGGACGCCCAGAGAGGGAGGAAGGGAGGCAGGAGGCCAGAGAGAGATTCTGGCCTCGAGGTCGCCCTGGGGGGGGGGGGGGGGGCCATCGGGGCAGGCCCTTCTGCCCCCCCAGGCACGGGGCGGCATCTTGCCAGGGGCCAGCGCCAGGGGGCCCGCCCGTGCTAGAAGAGACGGGGGCGGAAGAGGGAAGGCTGAGGAGGGAAGAGGGATGGAAGGAGTGAGGAAAAGGGGGGCGGTTCGGACGGAGGAATGAGCAGGGAGGAGCGCTGCAGGAGAACATGTCATGGCAGAGAAAGGAGGGCGAGGGTGGAGGAAGAAAGAAGAAAACGGAGCGATGAAGATGCCGGGGGGGGGTAGGAGTGGGAGGACGGGTAAGAGAGAAGAACAGAAGATGGGAAGAGAGGACGGACGGACGGATGGAAGGACAGGAATATGGAAAAGGGAGGGAGGGACGCATAGAGGGGAGGTGGTAGTGGACGGCGCCTTGGCCGCACGGTCGTGGTCGAGTGTGAAAAGCAACAATTCATACGACCGCTCGCCTGGCTATTGTGGTTTCGCAGTGCCAGAATGCGCGGGATCGCGCCCCTCCCTGGCCTCAGCCCGATTGGTGCGAATGCGTTCGAACTGGGTGGCCGTGAGGTTCAGGGCGGCAGGGGGGGAAAGGGGGGGCGGCCGCGAGGAAAGGAAAACGGAAGGCGGAGGCCTGTCCTTATTGGGCGACCCGTCGGGCACGGCGCCGAGTGGCGCCGCATCCTGCGGCGGCGGAGAAACATATTCCTCGGCGTGGGGAATAGGGGGAACCGACAGGAGACGAGTGGGGTGATAGCCATCTATGCCGTTTGGGACCACCTCGTTTCCTGGACGACGCGGTGTGTAAATGATCAGGGGCTTCCCAGAACCCGTCCTGCGGGCCCCATGGCACATGCAAGCCAAGTGGGCGCGTAATGTCGGCGCCAGCGCCTGGGTCCCAAGATGCTCCCTCCGCGGCAACCTTCACAATCGCATCCGTCATGGCAGTGGCTGCAGCAAGGGACGCACGCGTATGAGATGTTGTTATTAACACGAGTGTTGAAGCCAGAGTCTTCATTTTTACCCAAGAGGATTTTGTGGGTGCTTTTGTCAGGGTGACGCGTTCCCTGGTTGCATGCAGTACGTTGTGTGTACATGGTGCGCAACCTGAGCGCCTTGATACTGGTCGGCGCACGTCCCATAGTAGCTGGGACGGCGCCGTTCAAAGTACACGGATCAAATCTATGGCACCGACTACTACTGGGCAGCAGTTCGAGAGCGTGGGGCGGTGTCCAGGAGAAGCTGGAGACCGCCGCTTCCCTCCAAACTGCTCGGGCTGGATGCTATCCAGCCGCAAGTGCCTGCGTCCGCGTGCTATGACAGCATGTAGTTAAGACCATGCCCTGTAAAGCATACCCGTCGCTGCCCAGTTGCGTGGTCCGAGCCGCTGGGGGGCCCACCTGCCGCCCGCGCTCGTCTGGCGCGGATGTGGTAAGTCCGTTCGTCGTTGATCGGCAGCCGCGCAAGGTCGCATCGCAATCGGTCGACCGATGTGTCGATACCCGCGCCATGACCATGTCCATGCTGTCGATGCCATCCTGCATGCCCGGTTGCTGCGCCGCTCGCAGAACAGATGGCGGCTTGTGCCGCGACTCCCCGTGGTCGGATCACGCAGCGCCCGTCGGCGCGCTGAACCTCCGAAGGCCTTGCGGGGCCGCCGTCTGGCGCCAGACGTCTTCGAGAGTCTGCCAAGCATATTGGGCGACCTCGTGGGGGCCTGTGCAGAGCCACCGGCTAGCTTCGCCATGTGTGTACAGCGCGCACACCTCTGCGGATCCCCAGACCACGCTGCCGGCACCAGGCGCGCGCGCAACCGGGCATGCTGGTCTGAACCTGCCCAGGCCTGCACTGCGCTGTTCAGCGGCCTCTAGGCGATCCCTCGGGCGGAGAGCAGATGCACGGATAGGGAGGAGGGAGGAGGGGGAGGAGGGAAGAGGGGGAGGAGGAAGGAGGAGGAGGAGCCGCGGGGCGCTCTCTCTCTCTCTCTCTCTCTCTCTCTTTTCAAAACGAGGACCCAACACCACAGGATGGTTGGGAAAAAACCCAACAGGGCGCCGAGAGGCCGTCGAGAAGCCCTCGAGAGTTCCCGATGGGACCCCAAAAAGCTGTAAGAGCCGCCATGAAGCACACCTGAGGCAACACTACAACCGTATGACGTTACGACCACGTCAATCATCACGAGGCTTCCCACACCGCCCCACAATGCCTCTACCAGACCTGTCTGGGGGATCGCGGCAGGACCTTCCTGCACGTTGCGTGAAGTCGAACCGGTGCTGGCACGGTACCAGTGTTTGCTGCAGGCAGCTGGATGTTTTTCTCGTGGCCAGGCGCGCAAGCTCACCCTGTCACCGCACTCGGACACTCTGCTCCGCCTGGGTATGGGGGTAGCTCTCCAAGTAATGCATCTCGTTGATCTGAGTGAGGTGCAAAATGAAAGCCATCGCATGGAACCACTCGTGTGGGCTCCAGACGTGCTCCATTACAGGCAGCGGACCTGTTGTGGCAGCGTCGTAGGCCGCATGCTTTCGAAAACCCGCCCACCCAATTTTGCCTGGCGTGGCAAGGCGTGCGGGATGATTGGCCACGCCCATCTCCGTTCCCCTCCCCAGTGGTCAATGTCCGTTTGGAGGGGTGAGGTGGGGGGCATAAGGAATCCACAACATCGCACCTCCAACCTTGAGGCACAAAAGTGGCTCACTGTGCCCTGATGCCCTCAAGATGGCCCACTGTGATTCCCGCGTGGCCTCTGACAACCCTCGATGGCTCCAAAACCACCCAAAGTGGCCCAACATAGAGACCACGACGGCCTCTATGATGGTCCCTTCGGCCTCACATTACTTCTACAAAGATGATGGCCCGTTCCAACCAAACCCCTCGCAAACGAACCGCACAAAAATACGCATACCTATGTAAAAGTTATCGTTTTTGCATATGGCCCCAGCAGGCTTCAAGTTAACCCCAACTGGCACATGCGGGATCCACGCCTCTAAGGGGGCTCGTTAGTGGCACGGGGAGGCACTAAGAGAGCCTTCGAAAGAGCCGAAGCAAGAGCCCCAACAGGGCCCTGGAACGG